ATTCTACTCCTGATGTTCCCTTCATTTATACAATATTGGTTGGAGCAAAATGGTACCTATGCGCTTACTGACAGCAACCTAATGTTAACCCGATATGATCTAGAGACGTCTCATGGTCTACATTTGGCAATAAGGGGATATACATATATATATAACGTTTACTAAAGGCGTTTCAGCATTTTTCTTTAAAGATCAAACATCTCTTGAAGCATTAAAGCCTGCAAACGACTCAATTTTGGACCATTTGCATGCATGGAGATTTATAAGACACTAGGTAAAAAAGAAGGCAGGATCGCTCCGATTGATATTGGTAATTGACCATTGACCATTTTTGAACACACACACAAACACACATGTTTCATACAACACACACCACACACACACACACACACAACTGAGAGAGTGGATTTAAAGTGACTCAAAAGAATCAACAGTGAGGGCTCCCGACTATCTCCCTCCATATGCATAAATGATTCTGCATCATCAAGTTGTGAGAGGGCTTGGTTCCAGGTAATTCCGAGTGGACGCTAAGGGAGGCAGGAAAAAGAGAAAGATGAGAAAGAAGATGAAAAACCTCAAATTCAATCTGGCACGGTGAGAGGGACTGAGGGGAAATAAGGTGGTTTTGATTTGTCTCTCATCCCTCGCTTGCGCTGTGACGGAGCGATAGAGCATCGCCACCGTGGGGGGAGAACCAGCAGCGACCAACTGACAGGAGGAGGTGGGGGTGGAGCGAGGGATGGAAAGGTAAAGGTGAGGGAAGAATAGAGGACAAGAGAGATAGAAAATGTAATCCTATTCCAGGTAAAAGAGAATCATTATCTCCTCTAAAACAGAAGGCGATGGAAAGGTCTGCCCTTGGCAGGCTATGGGGTTCAAACTGTCTAAAACAAACTGTCTATGAAGGCTAGTATAGGAAGTCAGATTTTCCATCAAAAACATTTCAGACCAACTTTAGACCTAAAAAAAACAACAAGAAGCCAAGGGTATAAATAATTAAATAAATAACCTTGCTTGCATGTAGGGATAACCTTTAATACCATAAAATATTTGAAAACGTCAAAATCTATTTTGGATGCGTCAACATTAGTACTGTAGCTACATCTGCAACTGGAGTGTTGTGAGTTCTGAGCAAAAACTTGAAAAGTAACCCGTCATGGAAATAAAGTACAAAGCAAAAATACACTGAACTGAAAGGTCCATTGTTGCAAAGAAGCAAAATGCATATGCTATAGTAAAACACAAGAAGCACCAACTTCGGCTACAACAGGCACCCTTAGAAAGTCCTTTAAGCCAAACAGCACACTAAAAACTCTGCAATCGGTGATGATGGACAACCTTAATATGACGCTGGAGTTTTCATGTCGTCTTTACATTGTACTCTGTGGAGTTTCAACATGTTAGGGGAGCGAGGTATGCTAATAGTACTGCAGAAAACAGTGAGGGAGTTTGTACATAGGAAACACATTAAAACCACAGTTGGCACCACATTAAAAGGACATTACAGGATAATCCAGTACATAGATGGTGATTCCAAGTGTGTAGGTAACTGAAACTACCATAGTTTCTCCTACACGACAAGGCAAACAAAAAAGCCTTATCTAGAGCTGGTATTTGGTTCTGGCCTGTTCAGGGCTACTGTAGAATCATTGCGGTTCAACATTGTTGACTCCATACAAGAGGACCCGCTTCTTCTGTATATAAAAACGGCTCATTCTAAGGTAACGAAAAATTACACCAATTCTTATTTTCAGGTGATTATACACAAATGAAAACATATATAATATTATATTCCATTTCTACCAATAGATCCTCATAAAGGTTGCACATTGGACCTTTAAGAAATTCAAGTCCAGAACTGATGCCAAAGGGGGAAGCAGATACCTGACTGACTGTCTCAGCGGCATAATGGGATTATTTAGGATGCTCACTGTGCTGTACTC